GTGTGTCAGATCCGTATATTAATCGGATGTCAGCGTTTCTATCCTATTATATATTATCGGAAGCTGGCAAATTTTTACAATATACGCGAGGGAGATTTAAGAATGTATATAATAAATAAAATTGTATGTATTGGCGACGTGCAAGTATAGGTAATGGATTTTGGGAACAGCTATGACCTTGAAAATGCCACAAAGAATATAACTAAATATCTCTTTTCTTACTCATACTCTATAAAGTCTTTTACAATATTTTAGAATCGAAGATATGTAATTATATTATTAATGTATTGTATTTTGACAAGAGCTATGCATTATGCCTATTTAGTACACAAGTTTATGTGCAATGTTCAAGGTCATATCTGTTCCCAAAATCCATTACCTCTACTTGGATGTGATACGAGAAGCGATCGTGCGCAAGTAGCGGAGAAATGTTGCATTTTTTACTGCAAATTTCATAGATTTCAAACTCATATTGTCAATTGTCATATTTCATATTCGTTTGTTTATTTACACCTTCTGTCACTGAAGAAAATGGGATTTAGGAAATGCCGTGTTATAAATTGTAAAAATACAACAAAAAATTGTCAATTTAAGTTTTATTCGTTTCCAACTTCGAAGTACAAATTACTACAAAGAGAAAAGTGGATTTATATCATAAAAAAGCATAAGTAACATAATTTAAATTATGCATTATTCTTGCGCCCGATTTTAAAGTCAGTTTGAAATAAATAATAAATAAAAGTTCACTTTTAAGTGTAAATTTTAGTTTCATCATAACACTCACTTAGAGTTCATTTTAACCCAAAAATCAAGTTTAATGTTTAAATTTTATTTTTTTGAAGTTTACAAAAATGCATCAAGTTCAAGTTTTTCTGAAGATGCATTAAGATATATTCGCTGTCCAAAAGTTTACAGGGAAAGAATTAATTGTTCAAACCAATATGACGATATCATGGGCTTAACCTGCTAATTTATGCATTAGCATTATTTATGGTAATTTATTTTTCTTAATTCTTCCACATAATTCTTCCATTCTTTTTTGACATTTGCCACTACTAAAGCTTTTCCATTTGATTCAGTGCTTGGTTGAAAAGTTATTTGGTGATTTACTTTCTCAAATCCAGTTTTTATTATTGCATCCATATTAACAGTAATGCTATAATTTAATAATATATTTATTTGTATTTACACTACATACAACGTTTACCTTTTAATAACATATCGACATAACCTCAATCTTACTGTTTCTTCTTATTCTTTTTTTGGGGCTACGTCCTTGACAGTTATCCGGTAACCTCGATCTAACATGAAAGCGCAGTAAATTTTGCTGATCTACGACACCAGGTGTCGCTGTTCCGAACTTACACGGTCCCAATAAGAAAATCAGCATTTTTAAAAGTGCAGATAAGATCATAATATGTTTACCCATTATATTTAATGTTCTCAGATATGGTACTTGGAAATTTGTAAACTTATACTACAAACGTTAAAAACTAGAGTAAACATACATAATAGCATTCGTGTGTAGTTTATTTATTTTATCGTCGATAGCTTCAGCGACCTCAGTTACAAATGCATTTGCAACAGTAGCTAAACAATTTTGAATCAATTTTCTTTTTCTTGAATTCATTTTGACTACTTTCATTCACTAAACAAACACCTACTCCACAATATACTAGCATCAGTACTATACTTATAACTCTCCTCGTGTGAACGGTATCAAGCCATTTTTGGTAGAGTAGCGAGTAGAGTCGACTCTACTCGCTACTCTACTCTCCTCACAACTCTACCCGTGTAAACAAGTCTTTAGCGTTTTTATGGGTAGAGTTACTCTACTCTACCAAGTACTTTCATCATTACTCTACCGTGTAAACGGGTCTTGAGTGTTGGATTTTGATTTGCATAACCTGAGAGTTGAGTTCTGCCATTTCCATTCATATACAATATCTATGTTGTAAGGTTAATATTAAACAATCTTCATCGTATCTTTGTGAACGTCATTCCGACGATAAAAGCTCCACGGATCGTATCATTTTATTTAGCTTCAGCCTCTACAGAAGTAAAATTGCAGTCTTTTGCTAACTGTTTAAAAGATTGCATGTAAGCATCGATAGCATCGTCTGTCTGTTGTCGTCTAGTGGTTAGCATATGACGGACATTCTTCTTCTTTGAGTACCGTGCCCAAGTTTTACGCGTGGGTAGCTTTTATCGCGATATCGTTCTCGATCTTACGCGGCATGTAATAATGCATCTGCTGATAACCCAGTCCATTCAAACGCCTTCTCAAAATCTATAAAACATACGTAAATTGGTTTCTGTACTTCCCATGATCATTGAAGTAGTGTTAGCATTGAGAACAAAGCTTCCATTGTTCCCAATCCTTATTTCCCATTGTGTCTTCACATTTCTGCTTGATTCTATTATCCTAAGAAGTAGCTTAAGGTAGTGACTCATGAGACTAATTAGTCTAAAGTCTTTACATGATGATGTATTAGGTTTTTTTGAAAGTGGGATAAATGTAAACTCCAATCATATTTGTGGCAGTGTTCCAGTTTCGTATATGTTGTTATACATGTTTGTTAGTTCTGAGATATTGTCGTCGTCTAGAAGTTTGAGCCAGTCTGATGGTATTTGGTCAGGACCTGGAGATTTCCCATTTTTGCTTTGTTTGACAGCTTTCTCCACTTCTGCTTTTAAAATACTAGGACCAGTATTCGAATACTTTGTGGTGCTAAGTGGTGGCCTCGTATCCAGGAAGAGCTTTTTTATTTAGTTGGCCCATTCTTCCTTTTTTCGTTTAAGTCGAGAATAATTTTACCTCTGGAGTCGATTATCATGACGGACATGAATAATATTATTTGGCTTGATGTATATTTTATCAAGGATTTGAATGTATTCATTGTATGTTTCACAATCGCTTATATAGGAATACACTCTTGGTGAAATATAGTTTACTACAGTTGTAGCTTAATATTATTAGTGTCTAGGGGTGGTACAGCAGAAACAGTGGGAGTGAAAAGACCTGAAAGTTATTTTCCAATGGTCCCATTCTTTTGCTGTTGATTTTACAGCTGGATCCCCGTCTAACCTCTCGTGTCTTAGATACTTCTCCATTTATGTTGATTAAATTGAAATAGATAAGATTTAAATAGAATAGATGAACTGATCAGTGTGATCACAACAAATATCGAGGTATTTAATCTAGTGGGCAGAGAACGAGAATTGCTGCCAATAATGGCATATTGGAAGCAATATCTGGTCATATATTTCGAATTTCCAAGTACCAGTTCTTAATGCTTATTATGGAAGGGAAGATAGAAGGAAAACGGGGCATCGGAAGAAAGAAATATTCATGACTTAAAATATAAGGGATTAAACAAATCTCGATGCCCATGCAATCTTTAGAGCCAGACAAGATCGAGAGGAGTATGCCAGAATTGTCGCCAACATCCACTAATTGGATAGGGCACTATAAGAAGAAGAAATTGAAATAATTTAATCAACATAAAATTATACATAATACAACAAACAATAGGAATAGAAAATGGAACAACATGACAGTGATACTGACTTACGTCAAACACTGACAGAAGTAAAACTTTCTACAATTTTCTAATTCTACAACCACTGCAATACCAAGGAGGTTAATATCACATCAACCAAGCACACGTGAACGAAACTCTTATAAAACCTGTCTCCAATATATGTACACATAGCAGAGAAATAAAATTGCCTGTGTCCATAATGTCCATATATGGTATACTCATGGCAGTTAAAGTGTTAATTCATCTTTATATAAGTATTTCTTATCAATAATAGTTAAATTAACAATATTTATAATAATACAATTTTATAAAACATCTTTGAGATGCTAAAATAAGAAACAATTTGTCCATGTAATTCTTAGATGCCTTCAGCTTTCTTTTGTTATATTGTTATCCAAAAAGTTTCTGCTCCGTATAACATTCTGCTTTTAATAAGAGTTTAATATATGTTATATTTTTTCTTTTCGCTATAGAGAAACCAAAATTTTATTATTGTCTTTTTGATGAATATTTTTGTAAACACAGTATAATACTATCATCCAATAGTATAAGCAGTGCGTCTATATTCTTTGGTATGAGATCCTGTCTATTTCTATTATGGTGTAGTTTGTCCAGAGATATGTAAGAGAGTTCTCTCTTACATATCTCTGAATTCTGTATCTGTGATAATGGTCATTCTCAAGCATATTGTAGGTACATATAATGTATTGATATTAGAAGAGACTATTGATTTATTTTGGAGGATTGACTTTGTTGGCTAGATAATTTTATTATTATTAATATAAAAACAGACAAATAAAATACAAATATATACAAAACCTACGCAAAGAACCAAAAAGAATCTAATGTATGTTGTGTGGAGTAATTTATGGCGAACAATAAATTTGATGCTGACGGTTAAATCTGGCAACATCGTTGATGAGAGCTGCTTCTTTCATCGAATATGAGAACTCGAACCATCGAGCAAAAAGACAAGCTCGATGACTCGAACACACGAATTCAAATGATGAAATGATAGATCAATCATTCATCATAGAATAGATTCCAGAATACATTCAAATTATTAAGTCAATTTTTCGTGAGATTATATTACATGGACAAAAGTTATCTACAGGGAAGTTTTTCTTTATTTATTTATTTCTCACTAATAATAGTAAAATAAAATTTAAAATATTTATATCAATAAAATTGTATAAAACATCTTTATGCTGCTAAAATGAGAAAAACAATTTTAATTTGAGATAATTCTCAAAATAATATCTATATGCGCTTCTTGGCATTTAAGTTTGAAATGACGGATATTTTATTCAAGTCTAAATTCCATATATCGTTTTAATTTATTAAATTTTTGTAGATAGTAAAAAAATTGTGGAAAATTGCATAAACGTTTTTTTAATTTCTAATTTGTGGCAACAGCGCTAAGCAATGTAAATTTCTGATTGGATAGTTTTGTATGCAACAGCGCCATCTGTCTGCCTAGAAGTTTACCTTCTGAGAGAAAGTAGTAAACTCGTCCATTTGTATTTCAACGTCGTGATGGTAAGTTGATTTTTTATTTATATCATCGAAAATATCTAACATCCTTAAGTATTTCCTTCACTTTTTTTGTGTATAATACATAAAATAAGTTGATTGTCTAGTATTTTGTAATATATATATGATTTGATTCATTTTTATATACAAAGATACATAAAAAAGATTTACATTTTCATGATGATTTAGATTAATATATTGTTTATGGTTTTTATACCGAATAAAATATGTGGAAAGTATTCTAGGGCGGTCTGATGTTATAAATTTCAAAAATTACTTTCGTTGCGTAGAGAGCGAGCCTAATGTTAACTTATTTTTAGTCTCACAGAAAGTTCAGTGCGCCACGTCATGGATCAATGGGATTCTACCCCAAAAAGAGATCCCAGAGACATCGTGGTAAGGTAAAGGCTTTTCCAAAAGATGATCCTTCAAAACCTGTCCACTTAACGGCCTTCATAGGTTACAAAGCTGGTATGACCCACGTGGTAAGAGAGGCAGACAGACCTGGATCAAAGATCAATAAGAAAGAAATCGTAGAGGCTGTAACAATTTTGGAAACTCCACCCATGGTAATTGTTGGTGTTGTTGGTTACATCGAAACCCCACATGGTCTTAGGGCTTTGGCCACAGTTTGGGCTGAGCATCTCTCTGAAGATTGCCGCAGACGTTTCTACAAGAACTGGTGAGCATAATTTTAGTTAATTTGTTCGGACCTTTTTGAATAGTATAGAAGTAAATTTCTAATGTGTTTTGAATGATACATTGATCATTTTTTAAATTACCAGAAACTAGTAATCAAATGCCACTATATCTTACAATCTAGAAAATTTTTCCATGTGGTTATTAAATATGAATACTGTATTTATCTGATTGATAGAATTTGTCTTATTTCATCCACTATGCAGCATGTAACTCATTCTATTTCTTTAATTATTGAATGCTGTATTTCCGAGTCTAGAGTCACTAATTGAACTAATTCATGTTTATATCAGTGCTAAATGAACTCGAAGAGAAAAGATTCCAGCTCTTATGCCCCAGTTTTGTTATATAATAACATTACTGGGTACCTTGCGAGGCAACAAAATCTTCTCATCCTATGATTTTAATGTGAGATCTAAAAACCCCATGCAAAATATCGTTTTATATTAGTTCTTAATTTACTAATTTTTCTGCAAAGTTCTCCTCTGCATGCAAGAGAACTATATGGAACTGTATACTGAGCTTACTCTATTATGGCCTTAGGGCTTTTTTGAGTTTAGTGAAGTTTACTTGAGGGCAACGCCTCCTCTAAACTATGAGGCAATCCCTTCTTGTTCTTGCAGAAATCCCCAACTCCAATTGTAAGTGGTGATGTAATTTAACACTGTATGATATATGAACACAGGTACAAGAGCAAGAAGAAGGCATTTACCAAAGCTTCTAAGAAATGGAGTGATGATTTAGGAAAGAAGTCCATTGAAAAGGACTTGAAGAAGATTGTTAAATACTGTAAAGTCGTCAGAGTTATTGCTCACACTCAGGTTAGTATTTATATTGTTATGTATGTTTTTATATCTTTAAAAGTTGACACGATCAGTGTCGGAGCTTACCCTCCAGCTGGTGGCAGAGTGGTTCATACTTAATTGAGCTATTGCTACAGTGTCATAGAGCATATGCCCTTCGGGAGGCATAGAGAGCATATTCCATATTCATTTTGTAGTCCATGGACAAGGATATTTTGATAAACCATGTTCTCTACAATATTCTCATTTTTTCAATTATGTTGGGAAGAGTTTTTTTATATCTTCTATAATTTATATTGCTTTTTAGATGAAATTGTTGAAGCAACGTCAGAAGAAAGCTCACATTATGGAAATTCAATTGAATGGTGGTAGCATAGCTGATAAAGTAGCTTGGGCTAAAGAACACCTTGAAAAACCTATCCCCATTGCCAGTGTTTTTGCTCAAGATGAAATGATTGATTGCATTGGTGTTACTAAGGGTCATGGATACAAAGGTAAGGAATCCATGTATTTTAATGTTTTATTTTAAATTTAAAGTGATGATCTAACATGGATTGTGCTTCTGATATTTATTGAGGATACAACCATGCTGCCTTCCTACTGACAGCTATTCATAAGAAATTAAATTGTTCATATAAATTGCCAGATAATTAATGCTAAATTCAATTTTTAGGTGTTACTTCTCGTTGGCACACAAAGAAATTGCCTCGCAAGACACACAAAGGTCTTCGTAAAGTTGCCTGTATTGGAGCATGGCATCCTTCAAGAGTATCATTCACAGTTGCACGTGCTGGTCAAAAGGGTTACCATCATAGAACAGAAATGAACAAAAAGATCTACAGAATTGGTGCTGGAATCCACACTAAAGATGGCAAGGTATGTAACTCTCAAATTATTGTATTTTTTGCAATTCAGTATATCATCATCAACCAAACTACATAACTCATTTGTTTTAACTTTACATGAGAGCAATTATTTTGTTGATCATGTACCCAGAAAACCAGCCCTCAATGGTTTAGGTATGGAGCTGAAATGAGATATGTGGTGTTGTGGTTAGAAATGTTTATTGTGGTTGTCTTGATGGTAACAAAATCTGTTGATTTTTTTTGTTTTAAATCTATGGTCACTCGATATTCTTCATAACACTTTATGAAGTGTTATGTATATTTATCAAAAAATGTCACTTGGTTTGTCCACAATATATAAAATATCCATTATAATGATGATAACTCCTAGAGCCAAAAGGATTATGAATAATCCGTGATTATAAATGATAGGACTGACAATTCATATAGTTTTATTTTTATTTCTTTATTTAATTTTTTAGGTATATAATTTTACTTTTTTGTTTCAGGTTGTTAAAAATAATGCAGCCACTGCCTATGATCTTAGTGAAAAAACTATTACCCCAATGGGTGGTTTTCCTCATTATGGTGAAGTTAACAATGACTTTGTTATGATTAAGGGATGTTGTATGGGACCAAAGAAACGTGTTATTACATTGAGGAAGGTAAGTGTTTATTCTATTATTTTTGCAGTAATTATGGTTCATTCTTTTCTTTGATTTTCTTAGTTTTGCATTAATTAATGTTTATGAATTAATGTCAAAATATATAGTTCATACTTCTTTTACATGATGATAAGAACGTAGGGACATATGAATAAATACACTGATTATTTACGTGTTGGGAATCTCTCTGATATAAATTAAATCTAAAATATTGTTAAAATCACAAACTGAATAAATACTAACATTTGTATTTTTCTTTTCAGTCATTATTAGTTCACACTAAACGTATTGCTTTGGAGAAGATCAACCTTAAATTCATTGATACCTCATCCAAATTTGGTCATGGTAGATTCCAGACAGCTGCTGATAAAGCTGCATTCATGGGTCCACTCAAAAAAGATAGAGTTAAGGAAGAAGAGAAGGCTGCTGCTCCTGCTGCAGCTGCATCTAGTTAAAATGTAAATGTTTTTATTGTTTGACAATAAACATCATCTATAAGTACTACTTTTTATTTTTGTATGCCCTAGCTCCACTGTAATCATAAAAATATGTGGTTTACAATAACTATCCCTTTGTGGACTACAGAGATACTTAATTTCTGACTAATCAAGAAGGCTTGTCTAAGTGAAAACACTAGTTGTGAGTTAATAAGCAGACAACAGTGAAGTGTTAGGCTAGATCCAGTATTGGCATTTGCTGTATTTTTTAACCCATTTGGTGTCAGATCTCCCTTTGAATTTACTTAGTAATCAAAACACTAGGTGTGAGTGGACGAGCAGGTACATGCAGTGAATGGGTTAAAAGCTATAAATATAATTTTTTTAATACCACTTCACTCAAAATTATCTTAGTTATGGCAATATTAGTGTTCAACCTTAAATTTTAATTAGATATGCTTTCTGGATTGGTGTATAAATGGATTTTGTTTTATTATATTTCACCACAGTGGAGTTTTCTCTCAAAGTACCTCTTTCAAAGCAATTAAATCTTCAGTAATCAGAGAAAACATTCATTCTTTATCCCTCCAGTTTCTTACAATTAAGGTTTTGTCCTACCTGCTCCATGCATTTAATCCTGGGTCCTTTTGATCTTAGCGTTTGTGATTGCCTATTATATTTTACTTACCATATACAGCTGTGGTTAATAGTTTATGCCTTAATTTTTATATCTTAATACTGTAAAGTTGCAGTGTCATTGATTTGCTAAATGTCACCAAAAATATCACTCACTTTGAAAAATAATGAGATATTAATTAAATCTTCCAAAATGCCTGCAATGCATTTGAATCTTGCACAACAAACAAGAGCAATTGAACTCAAAGTAACAGCAAAAATTTTCATTTTGTAAAGTAGGTTTATTTTGGTTTTTTAATCAACCAATTTTTTCCGGGTCCGCTAATTTTAATGTCACTGACAGTAAAATATGCTAATGGTGAATATTTTTCAAAAAATCTATGATATATAGAGATGTAGCTGTGTAAATTATTTGATGACTGCAGCTTTATATTCTCCTTTTGATATCTTCTGATCTGTTATCTGAAGTGACTGTAGCCTAGATTTTTAAAATAATTTGTTTCCGAAATTTATTTCTGTACAATTATAGGAGCCCGAAAATTTATTAAAAACAATTCATACTAATTTTTTCAACTATAAAACTTACTTTGTAAGTAGCAAGTCTTAATTTGTGGAACTCAGTGACATGTCTACCTAGAAACGTGTCTTCCAATATCTTCACTCCATAAAACACTTACCTCCATATAATTTGTTACTCAATGTTTCACTATAATGCCCTTCGATCTGCTTAAGTTATTTTACTTTCCTGCATTTCTGGGTTTTGTGACGACCGAACCTGTAGTTTTGTATTTTCTGATTATATTTCTTACACTATAGCGTGACAAATATAACATATTCGCTATCTACGATTTCAATTTTCCAGAATTAAAAAAATAAATAATGATTGAACAAATTTTTTCATCGATAACTTGATCTCTGTTCATTGTACAATCCACAAACGGCAAAAAGCTTTACGGCACTAAAAAAAACATTTGACATTGTTTTGATGTCATTTTTTCATAGCTACCTCTGGATTTAACGTAATTATGAAAAAATCAACGTAAAATATAAACAAAAATAAAAATATTAACAAAAAAGCCATATTAGGTAATATGGGAACTTATAAAAAACATGCAGAGTATAATTTGTTTACACTCTGCATTTGCCTTTGACCTACTAACGTTCATATATTTTGTTTTGGCTTCATTAATCTTTAGGCCGCTTTTTCTGTTAGATTGAATGCTTCTATAAACAAGATGCAAAATGAGGTGTTTTCTTGGCATAGTCCAAGGTTCTCTTGTGTATATAGTAAATATTTTATCTGTTAATAATTCATTTTGGATTCTGATTTTGCTTTAAGTGTTCGATAATCATAATCAGTTCTGTTGGCATCTTTAATTGCTGTGTGCGAAAGAGTTCTTATCACATTCACCAGTTTTTTTTCTAGGATTTGCCTCCGTGTAAAGATTGCTTGTGCCTTCAGAAATCTCATTGGTATGCCCCAACTATTTTTTTCCTCATACATACATGGTCGCTCATATACTCATGCTATGCTTAACAGTATTTTATATGATTATTTAGCAATGTAATTACTAAATAATTTCAACAATAATTACTTTTATTACACACTAATTACTCTCCTTTTTTGTATAATGGCACGATTATTGTTCTGATTTTCCATTCCAGTGGAAGCTCTTATTTTTCTGAGCTGATGTGTGCTCAATATCAGTTCGTTAATTACACTTAATAATGAGTACCAACTTTCTTTTATCTAATATGTATGATCCAGGTGGCTTGTTGATTGTGTTTTTGATTTTTTTGATAGCTGCTTTCACTTCAGCCACTGAGGCTGGGTTTGTTTCTCTTTTGTTGAATTTCCTCATCGAATTCATCGCTGTTCCCTTCAAATTTTTCTGTCCGTAAAGAAATCTTCCACGAATAATACGAATTAAATAAATTTTTAAAAATTAAACGCTTTTGGATTACAAAGCCATCCTAAGCTATGATCAAAAGCTATTTGACCATATAGACCGTTGGATTTCAATAGAATTTAAGCCACAATTTTATCCCTGATGTCTTTGAGAGTACTGAAAGATGAAATCGCGTGAAAATTGAATTTTGTTCTGTAAAGAAAACTGCATCAGCACCGACGCTTTTTTCCCTAGGGGCTACTGGTGCCTCCGGTTGCAAAGTGAATAATGTAAGCCGCACAACTGATTTCCATCAAATTTGGATTCATCTGTGATTTTAGTTTGTAGTAAACATTGTTTTGTCCACCTCGGCTTTTACCACCAAAATTAGTATTATCGCCGCCGAATGAAACTAACTTTCTAGAGATGTACTTTTCAAGAGTGTTCCTCAAGAGCTGCACAATATTAGATGTTTCCCTATCTTCAGCCGTAAAATTCAATATTTTCGTCTTCATGCCTTCTAATGGAATGAAATATCTCACCACAATCGGGAACATCTTTACATTTCCATGGTTAGATGCATCGGTAATTATACAGAGGTATATTGCGTTGTTCATTGCATCAACCAATTGATTTTCGATGTACGGATCAAAGACATTTTTAACAATTGCCTCACATTTAGTACTAGCTGACTGAAATTTGCTCAATCCAAAGCAATTCCGAAATATATTCGATGAGCAATCAGCAGAGCGAAAGTTTTCATTTTCCTTAATCATATGATACGCCCAAACACCTTCCCGAGCTGCTGTCTCTAAATCAATATTGCTCGATGTTGCTGTTGCCTTGAAAAGATCGAAAATTCGGATCCACAAGTACCACAGTTTTTACTTTCTTGTTCTGGTTCCATATTAACAATAGAATGGAATGAAAAATGTAAAGACAATGCTTCGGAGCCTCGTAGATGATCACTAATCTATTTGAGGCTTCAAACTGATTAGTGACTTAAAATAAATGTTTGCATAAAATCATATTGCAGCAGATTTGATCTTGGTTCAAAGCATGTAACAGTTTGCAAATTAATCATTTATTCTTCAAGAATATAGAGCGAATGAAATCAAGAAGTTTGTTTATCTAATTAGAATGGTTGACAAAACCGAAAAAAAAACATTTATCAGCAATAATTACATCGTTGAATGCGACACACCTCGGTCTGCATGATTGATGTGTATACAATACATAAATTGTTATCGTTTTTGAATAAATTCATGGACTCAACCGTTACTTGATGGAAATTCATTTTATATAACAATAAAACACTGAAAACTTTGTTTTCAAACTTCTACAAAATTTATTTTAAACTCTTATCACTACAGCTGTTTCGGCTGATTGCCTTTCTCAAATGATTTTTGGCATCTGTTTACACTTTATAGTCTTTAATGAAATAGGTTGAGGAAGGGAGAACTGTTTGTCTCAAGTTGGTCATTCAGAATTATATCTCTGTTTTTTAATTTGTTGATTTCCATAGTTTTCTGTGTTTTTGAATAATCTTTTCGGAAGAAGATAATTAAAATACAGAAACGAAAAAAAGTGCATAGCTTGAGTTTTCCTATAACATAATATCAGGATAAAATCATGCGTTTTGGATGTGGTATTAGTATTACACTCTAGAACTTTTCGACTTTTTTTCGTCCCAACAATTCAATTAGATGTGAATTCTTAGAAGAATAAAGTATTTAAAATTTAAAAATAGAATTTTATCAAAAAGTTAAAAATTCTGATGGCCCGGAAGCCTTGTCCGGAACGCCGGGACACGACTTCGTAATTCGGGCCATGTCCCGGATTTTTCGGGCTAGTTCACACTAGGTATGCCAAATAAATAAAAACGACTATTACAAATAAACAATTTATTTACTTTATAAAACGACTAGAATTATAAAAATGCTTTAAAAATTAAACAATATGTACAAAAAATTACTTTTTAACCGCAACGTAAAACAAATAATGTATTTGAAAAAGTATTGTGGTGTGTAGGAAATATGATCAAATTAATTTTCAATTTCCGTAATTTTTAAGCCTTCGATGGATTCTATAATTTCATCACATCCTTTTTGATTCCTCAGGACCGGTTTATGACGTTCTAATTTATTTAATAGTTCTTTTCGGTTGATGTTAGCAACTTCATATAGAATATCTAAAACAAAAGTTAAATTTTACTACTTCTAGATAAACCGTTAGGGTTATTGATCTTATTTAATATTTCCTATTATTTTTAAATGATTGACCATTAATGACGACCACAAAGAATGTAAAAGGATAACAAAATTCATATGCCTCGGAAATGGAAAGAAATGAAGTCTGATGGACTTACTGCCTTCATGGTTTCAAAGAGAGACATCCCGAACTCGGTATCCGCCAATCGGAAGGTTGCAGCTTATCTATGGCTACATTATTTAATCGTAATGCGGATGCATTTTTTTTATTTATTTTGTTAATTTAGATGAAACATGTACCGTAAGTGTACAAAAGTCACCAAAGATTCTTGCACCAAGGGGAGTAAAACAAATCAATAAAATTACAAGCGATGAATTAGGTATGTATATTGGTTCCAACGTGTTGTATTATAAGTTCAACATGTTTGTAAATTATACAAAAGTATGACTTGTAGAATACAGCAACTGGAGGAGGAACATAGAACCGGTCAGTCTAGACAGTTTTATAAGGACCTAAAAACAATGAAGGGCAACACGCCCAACAGACCAAGATTTATAAAAGACGATGCAGGACAATTGCTCACAGACGACGAGGAGATAAGTCGCCATTTGAGCAACTCTTAAATATACAAAAACCCTCAATGATAGGGCAACAAAGACAGTACCAGTTGGCCGAACCTGAAATACCAGGGCCCACATTAGCTGAAGTAAAGTCCGCAATTTCGTCCCTAAAAAACCATAAAGCCCCAGACCCGGACGGCATACAGGCGGAACTACTAAAAAAGGGAGAGAAAAGATCCACCTTGAGATATATCATCTTATAAGAGAAGTCTAGGAAAGAGAAAAAATACACTTTGGAAATCGTTCTCAAAATACAAACAGTAAATTAAACAAATTTTGTTTTTTGTTACATAGTGAAAAATTCTTCTAATCATTTAATTTTATCTGACTCATTTATATTGACAATTCAGACATACATTAGGCATTTTAAAGTAGACGACTTTAAAATGATATTGCCAATATTGTTGAGTTGCGCTCCTGGGACGACTTTATTTATAAGATAGTTCATTCGATTACATGAAATCAACTTTAACTTGAGAATATCCGTCAGAAAAAAATCATAGCATGTAATTCGTCTTTAAAAAGACAAACACATGACATGATGACAGTAAAATTCTCGTGTTAGTGATTCTAGCAAGATATGAAATTAAAACGTTAACACTTCAAAACTACATCTACTCATTCTTTCATTCAATTTTTGTAAATGGGTACAAAAAAAAATAAATCGTATTATTAATCAAATTAAAAATAATATCGTATTTTTCTAAGTACTTTCTAAGAACTTGCAAAATTTGTAAACGAACTTAAATAATATATCACAATCAACGAACCTTTTACCATTTTTTGAACAGACTCTTCATCATCATCAAAATGGATTACCAAAGTATCAATGATTAATTCATGATGAGATCTGTAAATTAAATTTTTAAAAGCTTCAGGTGCATCTCTGAAAAGCAAAGGCAAGTTTCTGAGTGCTGACAGTCGTACCTTATCCGTTGGATCGTCCAGTCTTTTTAGTATTTCTAAAACAAAATTAAATTTACTTGACTGTAGAGAATTGAAGGAATTTTATAACCTAAAAAGATTTTTTCAATTATACAACCGCGCAGAAGTATCAAGTCATTTCTATTGCATCTTGTATTTAAGACAAGCAAAATGAAACTATGATATCATGCCCACCTTACACAATCCGTAGACAAAACAGTATAAAACTATATACAGGATGATCAACATTTGTGACAAAGTCCGATATATCCGTTATTATAGGAGGTACTAATTACAATTAATTCAACTATATTTAAAGGGGTTTTACTTATGTATTTATTGACTTCAAAGATGTAAATCTAATAAGTATTAAACCACCTTTTTGTTATAACCTTGCCCAACATTTTAACTTTCACGTTTACTTTAATTAAAGTAGTAATACTTATTTTATGATAGCACTGATAATGGAATACTCATTCCAAAAACGTTCTGTGATGTAGCCCGGTAGGGTTTTTATTATTATGCTTTTATAAAGGATTCAAAAATAAAAAACCAACTTGAACATAATCCGAGTTGGTTTTTTATTTTCCACAAACATTTTTTGAAGTTATACTTCAAAACTTGACTATTACAGGTCAACTGTTTATATACAACAAACGATGCACCATATACCTATAAACCTAACTATTTTTCTCTTTCTGCTCTCTCTTACCTATAGCATTACATATGTAATGATTGTGCAGATCGACTCCTATATAAATATGTAACGGCGAACGCGTGTATAGAAGTATAACTTCTACCGGCAGTCCCACTGGACTGCCACACCCGATTTTTTTTATAAGTCCAGTCTCGTTAAAAGTAAATTAACAATTTTATAATCACCTGGATAAATCTTGATCAAATAATCAACGGTCCAAATATTTTTCCTGTAACAATTATCCTTCAAAAGAATTAAACAATCTGCAGCGATTTGTCTACTACGATAGGAAGCATCTTCTAGTAAAGATATAAGAAGAGGCAGCAGTTCATCAACCACTGGTTGTAGAGTTTCTTGTGTAAACAATTCTACCCCTTCGGCTGGTAGTAAAGCGCTCTGTAAACATGAAGCTGCCATTGTTCTTATGGCTTCTGATGTCGCACCTGCATGCCAGACCAAGGAAGGTACAAAAATATCTAAAAAAAAATTATTTTTTATTCTATTCATAATACACCATATTAACACATTGATCGCCACAGCTAGTCTTAAAAATAATTATGAAAATTATAAATGAATATATATATATATATATATATATATATATATATATATACATATATATATATATATATATATATATATATATATATATATATATATATATATATATATATAATACACAACGCAAGCAAGAGCACATGGGCTATTATTATTCAGTTTAACATAAAACACTGCAATATAGCATATATTATAAAATATATATATATATATATATATATACCTTGTACTAATTTTTCCAAAAATCCAGTTACTTCCTGTCCATTTTCAAAAATGATTTCTTTTTTCTCAAAGAGTGTTGCCAATACATAGAATATTTTGAGGCGGCTTTCGGCATCACACTCAATATCGAGGGCCTGCACCAGTATGTCTTTGATAACTTCCAAATTTTGACCAAACGATTCTTTCATATTCGTCAAAACCGTCAAAAATATACACTCTTCCTCGTTAACGGTGACCCATAAATTAGGATTTTTGTTGATGTGATTTAAAACTCTTGGAGAATACAAAGACCAAAGTTGTTGAGTTTTTTCCAACTGTAATGATTTCGTTATTACATCTAGAACTTCTTCGTCTTTAATTTTATCATTGTTCTCTGGATGTTTCAAGGCAAATATGGAAATTGCTATTTTAAAAAGATAATACCCTGTTAGGTTTTCAGTACTTGTCTTGTGTTTTTCTGCTAATGCTTTTACACATTTAATGATCTCGACTTGATATTTATCCTAAAATATACATATTATTAAGCAATATTTTAAAGAACTTGGAAATAATCAAAAAGTAGTTGTTTAACTTAAAAATGTAATCGACACTTAATCTATATTAATAAAAATTAATCGTCGAAATGTTTGTACGGGCATCACTTTAGAACGACTGCACCAAATTAGATAATTATTTTTTTGTGTGTTTGAAATTAGAAGACGCATTAAAATAGCAAGATCTGGTTTTATGAATATGAGTAAAATGCTCTGTAACCCCAAGTTATCAGTCTCAATAAGACTGAGAACACTAAAGTGTTATGTGTGGTCTCTATTACTATATGGCTGTGAGACCTGGACATTAAAACAGTATGACGTCAACAAATTAAATTCATTTGAAATGTGGATGTACCGCAGAATGTTAAGAATAAGCTGGACCAGCAGAACTACGAATGAAGAAGTACTGAGAGTAATGAACACACACCCTCATCTGGTCAATACTATCAAAATTAGAAAGACGCCATATCTAGAACACATACTGTGCCATAGGGAATTTGATCAGCTCCACGTAATATTAGAAAACAAGAATGGAGGTAAAAGGGACATAGGACGAAAGAAAAAATCTTGGCTACGAAACATCAGACATTGGACCCACACGAGAGGAAATGAATTAATACATCAAGCCTAGAACAGAGAGAAATTTGCCATATGGATCGCCAACCTCAACAGAGAAGGCACTTAGGAGGAGGAGTTATTATCAGGGGAAGGGTTGTGTACAAGATACTTTTAAAAAATTGTATAAAAAGACCTCAAAAACAGTTTTTCTGTCATTTCAAATAGGTATATATTTAATAGATACTATGACTAACAAAGGAAGCTAGACTTAACAAAATAAATGTCAGTATTGATAGATTGGACAACAACCATACCTCACTGAATTATATCGGTTTTCGTTCGGTCTGGGTAAAATTTTAAATTTTACATACCCCTAAGTTGTACGGGTGGTTCAACCCAAACGTTTTTTATTATTATTTTTTAAACAAATTTTTTATTTTTATTATTACAAAATACATACAGCCCTTTTTCACCCCTCAATTAGTAACCACTGTTTAATAGCCATATTAGTCCCCCGAAATGCAGGATCGATTTTTATAAAATTTTACACATATATTAGAACTTACAACGCTCTTAGAACAGGTCTTAATATATTTTTCATACCCCAAGAGATAAGGGTGGTTCATCCCAAATATATTTTTTTATTTTTTAGACAAACGTTTTTATTTTTTTTTATGATGTGGCATTAAACAATACATACAAACCCTTAATTTTCAACCTTCCATCACCAACCCCTATTGTTTAATAGTCATATTAGTGTCACCGTGTTAGCAGCCATACTTCTTCGAAACGGCGTGACCGATTTTTATGAAATTTTTTTATCTATATTCGGTCGTAATCTATTTTCATAGCCGTCAGGGGTAAGAATGATTCAACCCAAACATTTTTTTTATCTTGTTTATAAAATTTTTTATTTTTATTTGGTTATGATGTGGCATTAAGAAATAGAATAGCCCTTAATTTTTACCCTTCTATCACCAATCCCGATTTTTATTAGCAAAATTAGTGTGACAGAGTTTGATGGTTTGACCTATTTTTATGAAATTTTATATGTATATTCGGTTGAATATACTACTCTAAATTTTCTTCCAGGAAAGTTGTTTTCGTTCACATCAGTTGATACAATTATAAATCAGAATGACGTAGTCAACTATCCTACGGAGTTTTTGGATTCATTGGAAATGCCTGGACTCCCACTGAACAATTTACAATTAAAAGTAGGATGAGTTGTCATTATGCTGCGTAACATTCATCAAACTCGACTGTGCAATGGAATGGAATTGACAGTGAAAAGGCTACCTAATGAATAATGTCATAGCGATAACGATCATCAACGAAAAATACAAAGGAGAGGATGTCTTAATCCCGCGTGATTTTAACGAGCGTATCATTTGATCAAATCAGAAATGAAACTTTTTTTTTATTCTATTGTATTTTATTTTATTATTAAACACGAATGGGACTGCGTTTACTACTCCATGTAGTGTGTGGTCGCTTGATCCGCCGTTACAGTCACTACAATCGGCTTTATTTGTTTCACACCTCTATGCAATCCACCGCTCCATCCGTAACCAACGATAAGAAAGCTATTCTTCCAAATATTTTAAACAATAATTTAGGTTATGTCACTCTGAACAATTAGCTGAAATCTCAATCTGCCTTATTTTTATTGCAAAAACTACTCTATTTTTTTTTCGATAGCTCTATATACATCCATTAGTTTCATAATATTAATTGCCACAAATACGTCAAATATAGCTGAATTTCTATCTCAGGATACAGACACGCATAAGCAGATTAGAAAAAAAAATTAATGTCAGTTTTAAAACACTTCTTCAGAGCTTTAATATGTTGGCGTAAAGTTGATAATTTATTCTATTCTAAGTTTATTTGCTCGATATTTTGAAAGATAAAGGTATTAAAAATTTTTGAAACACCTAACCTAATTTTACCATTTTAAAAAGAAAATGTTAGAAAAAAAAGTAACCTACCTTTCTGCTACAACAAACCGAATCTTCAGCTAAAACTTTACAAATATTTTCAATGTAAGTATGTATGTATTCTTGAGGAGCTCCTTTTACCAATCCTTGCAAAACTGTCAAATGACCATAATGTGGCCCTTCTTCAATAATGGGTAATACGAGCGGTGACCATATATTACATTTCACAAAACATCCAATGATTTCGCTGGCACGTTCTATATTGGTAACTACTCTGGAGTCATCATCTCTAGCTGCTGAATACATAGATAATAATAATTCTTGTAGATTTTGTGTTATCCCCTCTTCGGCATGCAAGGCTATGGAACACAATAACTGGGCACAGCGCAGTCTGACATCTTCTTGCCAACTCATAAGTTCTCTGGCTATTGCAGGTGCTATTTTACATATGTTTCGCTTGACTAGACCCCTACACCCCAAATTTGGACGCTCTATGTTTTCTGGATAGTATTTCGGCAGCTGAGTCATGTAATCTAAAAATACATTAATTTAGTTTTGTATAACATGATTCATGTCCAGTTGTTCTGTACATTTTCGGTTTGTTTATTGTGTATGGTATCAGAAAAATATACAACGTAAACTTTACTCCAATTCCAACTCCAACTTGGTAAAGTAGCGTATGTGCATATTCGCTATTTTTCAGGAGAGCTAAAACACATTTTGGGCTTCGACTAAAAATCTGTTTGTAATGTTATTTGTATTACATACCTGCGCTGGAAACCTTAAAAATTGCTTAAAAAACGTTAATAATGAAAATAGGCTAAGTAATTGTAAAATAGGCTATAAAAAATAGCGAATCTGCATTTGTGTTAAAGGATAATTATACTTATGTATCACCTATTGATTGGTTTTCCCATAAGGTGGTAGAGAATTTTAAGATTGAACAAAATTTAATGAAATGCTAAACTATTTTATAATTTTGCTTTAAAATTTAGAAGATTATTGGTTTAGTTGTTATGATTCGCTTTCAGATTGTTCAGAGGCATCTGGCTCTGGAAGAGCATCTCGTACAGTGTTCTCAGAGGGATTTGTGTAGAAATCATGGTAAAAACGTGGTATTTGTAGAACCTTACAAAGCTTTTGAAGGTCTTTTAGTTTTTTGGTAGCAATTGGGAACCTCGACTTGTAAAGTTTTATTGGAGAATTATTAAAAGAAGTTCTTTCCCGTTTGTTTTTCATCCCTTTTGTAATATACTTCAGCATCTGGATGCTTTGACAGGTATTTAAATTCTTATCAATACAGAAATCAATGAAGTCATCATGGCACAAAGGAATTACTTAAAATAGTGTTGCCTCTGGCAGTGCGAATTATTTTGCACCACCACTCCGGAGTAAAAATTGGGGCATTTTTACTTGGCTGCTCTATATTGGCACGAATGAAGTCACACTCCATTTGGCTGTGAACAGGATCAAAAAACCTGTGATCAATTTGTTTGATCGAGGGGTGCTCGTTAACAACATTCACACACATGGTAATGAATTTGGAATTTTTTTACTGCCCTCCGCAGCTATTCGACATCATGCTGACAAATTCTGTTTTGGTTTGGTCCATCAAATAAGTATAAATGCATGCCGATATCTCCATACTACCCGGTTTCCTTCTGTTTCGTCCCAGACACAACAGGTAACACTGGCATCTGTAAGATTGTAAATGGTAAGGTAATTGTAAGGTAAAGGTAATTGTTACATTTAAGTCAGTGGCTAAATATTGGTATTCTGATTTATTCCTTGCATAGTGTGGTGATTCCATTCTTGGGAACAATAAAATGTGATTTCTTATGAATTTTTCATTTATAGGGTTTACTTTATTTGGTGGATCTTTTTTCCCTCGTAGGTCAGATAGGAGAATTCCACTAGAGTTAACCTTTTTAAGGGCCCCTCTTATAAGTGACTCTGAAATATTTAAAGTATCAAATTTTCTACACACATCAACTCTGCCATTTTCAGTGGAAAAGTGTATTTTTTAGTGTAAGCTTGTCGTGACTCCATTGCATTTGTTGATTTTGGTTGCACAGTAACGTGTTATAAAGAAACTGTCATTGTTTTAATAGGGATGGCAATTGACTTGACTCCGCCAGATCATCTTATAGTCTATTATACGTTATGTTTGTAAGGTTAAGTACAAATAGTCGTCATTTACTTTCAGCACTGCAAAAATCCAATTAGGTAAACTGACGAATATGCCACTTTGGTTATTTTGACTATTTGTAATGGTTGTAATACACTTTGGCAAAAGTTCTAATGTGGCACATTCGCTTGTTTACCTATCGAATATTCATATTCGACTGTTTAGCGTTGTGAATAGTGAAGTAGGTGTAGATTCGTTAAACTAAAAATAGTCACCAATGACTGTTTTCAACAATGATTGGACCAGTACATTTGCTGTTTTACTGGAATACTGGACTTCAGTTCAGGTTAAGTGCGACTAATCAGGATTGTTTCGTTTTAAACATTTTGTTTTAATTAACTATTTTAAACATATGTTTAGGTTTAAAATAGTTTTTGTCTAAAACACGTTTTTTTTTCATTTTCTTTAATAATATAATAAATAAACATGAAAAAAATTTTCATATACATTCTACAAACTTTTTAACACACATATTATTTATTTATTAATAATAGGAACGGGCGTAGGAAATTTCGACACTAAGCAGGTAGCGACTAAAATTTAATGGCAATTTTCGACACCAGCCCCAATTCCCTTTTTTATCTTACAGGTATATTCGACACCAAATAAATATAGCTGCGACATAAATAAAATACCATAATTAATTAATTTATGCATTTTATTTCTTTATAACTGTAATAATATCTAAATATAATATAACTAGTACCTAATTTTTGTACATTTTACCGTTAATATACTTGTATACAATGATTTATTTGCTATTATAGGAATGATAAGATACAGCTTTTATAAAATCTAACCTACGTATTTGTTGGGATCGTAGTTTATCCATCATTTTCTCCAAAAATGCCAATTGAGCCTTAACAGCAGTATCTTTGATTTTGCTAGTATATGTAAACTATTTATTTTGACATAAGTGTCTACTTGAAATTCTTTTAACTTTTCAATAAAAATAAAAATAGAAGGATGTGTTGAATAAAAAAAAAAAGAATTAAATCTCGAATGAAAGGATTCACAGGCATTTGTCGTCCTCGCAATAGACGGATTCTGATTAGACCATATGTGTGGTGGAAATAGAGCGCTATCGAAAATGTAATTTTCCAGTAAATAATCTGCATATATATTAAGTGTTGCGTTTATAGGTTTACATGACATTAAATCATAAAGAAAGCATTCTTCAACTTCTACTGGATTTAAATAAGTTAAACCAAACGTATGCCTTAACCATTTTCCAATTTCTGAATTTGTATCCTTATATTCTTGTACCAAACCCAAAGATTGAATTTTTTTAAACCAGTTTTGGTGTAAGTGAAAACGGCATCCACTAATTTTTGCATTGGGCCACATATACAATAAAGCACAGTGAATTGCTTTTTCAAAGTCCACAAATATTTCAGTTGGCTCTAATGATAATTGAAATGTTTCAAAAATCTTAGACCTTAATAAAGAAAATAAATTTTTGTATGTCATTGACAATTTTCCTTTAACAAACAGTATGCTAAAGGAACATAATGTCCATTTTCCAAGCCATGTATAGTAAATAATTGTAGAAAATATTTGGTACTGTATGAAAATGTACCATCCATATAAAAAGTTTTTAATTTACACAACAAACGAATATTTGTCTCGCATGAAAATACAATTACATTTAATTCAGGATGATTTAAAAACAAAAAACTTTCATTACGACAGGTTTTAGGAGAATAATTACTAACCGCGTTATGGACTTCTGATATGCTTCCTGGTAACGGACCTGGTAACAGTTTACGACGACAGTTGTAAATGTTCTTTCTTATGCTAGCTATGTCAGGAACCGTCAGCAAATTGGCGTCACACTCAGCAACAGCAGTTTACATAGCAGGCTTTTCCGATATGTCCTCTTGGGCTTTTCTTTTACATGCATTGGTTACCATCTTTACTTCAAGCTTTTTTTTGATCGGCTTCATGATTATGTACCAAATCACTTTTTGTGATGGTGAGGTCCTCACGGCCTATTGTAAACACTTTTGCGGAACACTTAGTGTTTCTTTGGATGCAGCGCCAAAATATCTCGCCGCTTTTTAAAACTTTCTGTTTCGAGAACGAATGATGCTCCACTAGTAATAAATCTCGACCACGGGAACTTTTTATCAAACTCATTTTTTAAATATCCGTATACGTGCACAAGTCAACGTCAAACAAGAAATAAATTACAATTGACAATAAATATTGGGAAAACCCGCTTGTCCTGCTTGGGTGCAAATGTCCATCGCCGCTAATTACCTACCTACCTGCTTTTCGCCGCGGTGTCGAAATTTCCTATAATAAAATTTGACCCTTCGATTACCCCAGGTACAAAGACAATTTGGTGTCGAAAGTTCGCCCGCCGATAGGAACACGACAAAAATTGGAAAACTTAATACATGTTGCATACAAGAGTTAATAAATTTATCGAACTATTTCAATCTCATAGTAATCTTGTATTCTAAGTCATCAATCTGATATCTAATCAGTCACGGAATTAAATTCTTTAAAAATTGAAACCAACTTACCTGTTTTGACATTGCCTAGCCGATTACGTAGTTTGGAATGGACTAAGCCGTATTATGAGAAGAACCTTTCCATCTTGGCTAATGATGCAATAAGTGTGTGAAGCTGTTGAGCAAATTCCAATGGTGTCGTATTTATATTTTTATATAACGCCACCAAGCCAATGGTTACATTCTCCATTAGATGTTAAAAAAATACATGGTTTAAAGGGTACATACTTTGCCTGGTAATTAATAATATTTGGCAATGCTTCTGGATGATAAGTTTCTACATATTCCATGCGTTTCTATTTGCTTTTGAGTAGGTTTACTTCCATTAACGCGATGATCAAAAATGATATCCCAAAAATGAGCTGGTGTCAAATCCATTTTCATACGCTTATCGGCTTCCAGAAGTTCTAGCCATACCTCTGTAGCCTCTCCTATAGTGAAAGTATTTCTTTGAATTTTATCCAAAGCAACTGAAATATACTTTAATTTTCTTAAATAGTCGTTTGCATTTGTTTAGAAATTTGTATCATTTACAAGCTTTATTATATCTTGGCAATAACAAACATCAAAAAATATTGGCGAGTTTTTCAAGTAACTTCCTAAGCAGTCCGATAAAGTATTCCAACGAACATCTTGAGGAAATACAAGAGCAGAAACACCAGCTTTTTGGAATTTTGTGCTAGCAAAATTTGCAATTTTTTTTATATTACTCTTTATTACTTGCACTTCTATATCATGGGCAAGTAAATATATGTACCTTTGAAACCAATTAACAGGTTCTTCAAAGTGTGCCATAGCTTGTACTGCTACTGGATTTCTTTTAGGATTTGATATATATCTGAGAAGTATTGTTAATTAAGAATTTGGACTTGTGAAATTGTTGTGCTGACACTAAGTTCAATGTTTCAGGCTTAGGCATGGGTACTGCTTTCCTGTTTCATGGTAGATTTTTTACCGCAATATCTTTATTGAGTAAACTGCTCAATTTTGATTTATTTACTTGTGGAACTATGATGCCAAACAAAAAGTATTTTCCTAAACGTGTATTGTGTTCAGATAAAAATTTGAAATTTGGTGAAGATGTTTATGCCGTGTCTGACCAGATATCAAAAACAAAATGATTCAGAAAGAGATGGAGGAAAAAATGTGTAGTAAGGGTAAATAATATGCATAAACACGCAACTATAGCAACGATACAGAGAACTAATAAAACTGGAAGTAAAGAGCAGATTCTACACAAATTATTGTTGATTAAAATCTGAACATGGAGGGAGTAGGTCTATTTAATTATCTAATGGCTTGTTATTCTCCTTCACGCAAATCTAGGAGATGGTGGTTGAAAATATGTTTTTATTTAGTGGATAGTGCAATAGTTGATTCTCTTATTTTATACAAGACAACAATATCATTATCACCACTAACTGGAAAACCCATGTCTCATTTAATGTTTAGGAGTATGTTAGCTGACTAATTAATAGAAGACTTTAAAAATAGAAAGAGCTCTGGAAGAAAAACGGAAGGTGTCACTCTAACAAAGAAAAAACTGGAAGAACCTGTATCCGACATTAAGCTATTTATATATAGATTAATATATGTGCGTTTTGCAGCACTAAAAAAGTGTAAAAAGATTGGGTATACAATGTACAACTTGCAAAGTCGTTCTTTGTACAGTGTTTTAAGCCTTTTTATAAAAATTAAATTTAAAAAAAAATATTGGAAGTTTTGTTCTTAATAGAAATTTCTTTTGTTTTGAAATTTTATTTTAATTAGAATATACTTTTTATTAAAATTGTAGAGTTCTAATTTAGATAAAATTATTGTTTTTTTTTTAATGAAAACATAAATTATTTGTGTGTATTTGTGAAAAAATTTTTAGCCACTATTCACGAGCGTTGAACGTAATCAAGAACGTGAGGTGGCTAAATTATTAGCCACCCTGTTTTGTCGTATTATCAAAAAATAAAGACATATTTTCAATACAAAAGAGCCTTATTTGCGTACCCCTCAATTTCATATTGAAATAACATTGTTATTATAAGAAAAAAAAGTGCATTCAGAGCATTCTTTATTGGCTACAAATGTAACCACTAAATGTTAAAGGCTTAAAGTATAATAGATTGGTGGTTTAAAAATGTAATAGTTCCTTACGAAATTAGTAGAAAAATAAAGAATATTTATGTTTTACCTAGTTCATCTTTAAAATCTTTTTCATTTTCCTTTTGGTACTGTAGGCCCACTTTCTCCCACAATGTAGCAGCTTCCATTCTAGTTTCAAGTACTTCGTCGTTTAAACCAGTCAGTAATAATGGTAATATTTTATGAAAGAAGGAATATCGATCTCTGTATTCCAGTAGCCATTTAGCAGCAACCTAAAAACATGTGATTTACACATCAGCCAAAAAGTTGCATTTACTACAATACATTTGAAAATTGTGTATTATATTCTAATTTCTTATCTTTTATCTTAATGTGATGTTAAAATGATACTGGGAAAATATTACCAATAGGTTAAGAAATCAAAGTCCAAGCGAAGAAGACCAGAGAGATATAGACTCCTACTGGAACACGATAAAGAAAGATATTGAGTCAGCAGCACAAGATGAAATAGGAACAGAAACTTGTAACCGAAAAAATTACTGGTTTGACGATGAATACAAAGACGCAACACAGAAAAAAAATAAAGCTTATGCAAAAATGCTTACCCGCCGGACTAGAACAAGTGTAGAGAATTACCAGACAAAGAGAAGAGAAGAAAAGAAAATACACAGAATGAAGAAACGAAACCACTTAAAAAAGGAACTTCAATATATAGAAAACCTCAACAGAGAGAAAGAATTCAGAACATTCTATAACAAAGTTAACATCACCAGAAAAGAATTCAAGGCAAACACAAATCAATGTAGCAGTTTGAATGGCGATCTATTAACAACAAGAACAGACGTACTAAATCGATGGAGGGAATATTTTAACCAAATACTTAATATAGAGGAAGAAGAAAACCCGGAAGACGAAAGCTGTGAGGTAAGCGGAGCAGGCGAGAGGGAGGAGAACCCACCAACGATCCTGGAAGTTAAAGACGCTGTCAATAAACTTGCCAGAAATGCAAGCACCGTATGCAGAGCAAATAATAGGACAATACCAGGCTGGTTTCAGAGGTGGTAAATCAACAATTCATCAGATTTCAACCCTGAGACAAATTCTAGAGAAAACACTGGAATATGGTGTAGACACGCACCACATATTTATAGACTACAAGGCAGCCTACGACTCTGTAAATAGAAGAGAATTGTTTAGAGCAATGATAGACCTGGGAGTACCAAATCTGTTGGTAAGTTTAACCAAACTAACCCTTGAAAAAGTTGAATGCAGAGTACCAATCCAGGGGGAACTCTCTGAACCTTTTATTACAAATAAAGGGCTACGTCAGGGAGACCCACTCTCCTGTATACTATTCAATCTAGCTCTGGAAAAAGTAATACGTACGTCACAAATCACAACTACCGGTTCAATATATAACAAATATGTGCAAATCCTAGCATATGCTGATGATATCAATACTGTTGGGAGAACGGAAAACGCAGCACGAGGGGTGTATGTAGCACTAAAGGAAGCGGCTACAAAAATGGGTTTAATAATAAATATTAATAAAACGAAATACATGAAAGTAGGTCCGCAACCACAAATACGACGGCCACTTGTTATAGAAAACGACGTCATCGAAGCAGTTAACGAATTTGTATACCTGGGAACGCTCGTCAATACTGAAAATGACATTACTGCAGAGATAAACCTCAGAATTTGCACGGCTAATAGATGCTATTTTGGGCTTAATCTCCTTTTTAAATCTACAGCTATATCAAGAAATACAAAAGTAAAACTCTACAAAACAATAATACGCCCAGTCCTAACATATGGTTCAGAAACCTGGACTTTAACAAAAAGCAATGAAAACATGTTAGGATGTTTCGAAAGAAAAATACTGAGGCGAATCTATGGAGCGGTAAATGAAAATGATGTCTGGAGAAGACGATACAACTTCGAACTCTATAGAATATACCAGGAACCAGATATCGTAAAACACATTAAGATAGGACGTCTGAGGTGGGTAGGCCATGTAATGCGGATGGAGCAAACCGACGCAGCTAGAAAAACGCTCCTTGATAGACCTATTGGTCAAAGAAAAAGAGGAAGACCCAGAACAATCTTCCTAGATAACATAGACCAAGATATGAGAAATATGGAAATACATGCTTGGCGGAGGAAGGCGATGGATAGGGACGACTGGAAGAGAATTCTTGGGGAGGCTAGGACCCACACCGGGTTGTAAAGCCAAAATGATGATGATGATGTTAAAATGATGTTCAAAATGATTTACCTAAACATAATATTCACAAATCATATAGAAAAACAGTAAAAAAGGTTCACTTTATCAAATCTGTAGTATTTTGTCTACAGAATTTCTATTTATCCACTTGTTCCGTATATCTGAGTTTGGGTCTGATTAGTATCTATCATATTACCTTCTTTGGAATTTTATTTTTCTGCATCTGTTCACATAAACATCAAATCTTTATAAATTTTGATGTCAGATTCATTGTTTAATGTGTGTAGTTAAAATATCTATACTCTGTTTTTTTTTCTGCTAGGAATATATGGAGAAGCAACAGCAAGCCTTTCTTGTCTAAATGTTCATCCATAGGTCAATCTAACACCAGGATATTCTAGACCAAGTGGCAGACTTTAACAGGTATTTAACTTTGACAGGTATTTTAAGCTACTACGTTGATCTTTTTGCGTTTCTGGTTAGGGTCATATATTCATTTTTTCAAGAATAGGTGACTTTTGGGACAAATCCCGAAGCAAATCGATTTTTATTTTTAAATTATATTTTTTTTGGCGTTCTGGCGACATGGTTTTTGGTGTTTCAAAAAAAAGTAACACTGTCTCTAGGATAGGTAAAAAACTGAAAATTAATTGAGGTTTGTTTAGTAAAGATTTTTTGTAACGCCATCCGTTTTTAAGATACAGGGCGTTGAAGAAAAAAATTTACACATTTTTTACAATTTTGCCAAAATTACTGGCAAAATTGTAATGAAATTTTATACAAATATGTTTTAGAAGCTGATACATTCCATGGATCTGATGATACTCGATACTGTGTAACGTTTTCAGAATATTTTGATTTGAAAATTATGAACTAATAACTGATGCTGATATAAAGTAATGAAAGTTATTAAATAAAAAAAAATCACAAGAAGAAAATTAAAATAAAGACTAAAAGTGTTCAAAATGAATTCTGTTTTGACAAATGAAGCGGTTTATCCTTTTTTCTAAAGCATCCATTAATCTTTTATACTTGTCTTTCCCAAATAAATCTATCTTCCAAATCTTGTGAATTTACCTCTGCAGCATAGACTTTTTCCTTAATACAAAGGAGAAGAAGTTTATACAACCAAACTGTGTAGTCCAAAGGATTAAAATCGCATGACCGAGGAGGCCAATGAATCGAAGCTTCTATACCTCTACCAATCCATCGAATCGGAAAATGGTTATCAACCAATTACGACACCTTCTACCAAAGTGTGGTGGAGATCCATTGTGCATAAAAATAAAGATCTTCGCTTGTTAAGCATTAAATCTTCTAATATCTCAAATAAGTAAAAACTAGTAATTAACCATTTAAATTTCCAGGTAGAATATGATAACCTATTAATTTGTTACCTAAAGTTGCTGCCCAAACATTAATTTTAAATGAGTGTTGGTAATGTAATACCCTTTTGACTCATGGATTCTTACTTTGTTCGTACTTGGTACAAACCTTGTAACTAGCGCTCTCTATGAGAGTAATATATAAAAACAAATTTATGGGATGTATCAGCTTCCAAAACATATTCGTATAAAATTGTATTATAACGCTGCCAGTAGTTTCGACAAAATTGTAAAAAATATGTAAATTTTTTTCTTTGACAGACTTTATTCTGAAAACGGATAGCGTTACAAATTTTTTTTAGTAAATAACCTGTAACCTAATTGAAATATAATGCGATAATTAGCAATACATGAGCGTCGCGAGTGGGGTCTATAATTATATGGATAATACATTACATAAAGTGTATTTAAAACCTACACACACGGATAGATACCTAAACAGGAACTCAAATCATCATCCAGGCCAAAAACAAGGTATCATCAAAATTCTGGCGGAGAGGGCGAAGAGAATTTGGAAGAGACTTGTTATTCCAGAAGAGAAATACGTAAAGCCATGAACAACGTCTCTAGAAGAAAGGACGAAGAAACAGAATGTGTAAGCAAAGCGTTCTTGCTCTACATATCGGGGGTAACGCACAGAATTGGGCGAATACTTAAAAAAGCCAATGTGAAGACCATTTTCAAGCCTACAAAGAAAATCAAGGACTGTTTAAAGCGACTTATTAGCAACGGCCGGAGTATACCAAATACCATATGCAAGTAAAATGGTATATGTGGGAACCACGAAAAGACACACAAACACAAGAATAAACGAACATAAAAGCCATTGTCGTTTAGGACATATCGACAAATCTGCCGTTGCCGAACACGCTTTGGGAAGCGGAGAACATAAGATACTATTTGAAGAAACGCAGATGCTGGATAAAACATCACAGTACTACCCACGGTTGTATCGGGAAGCGGTGGAAATATATAAGCAGGAAAATAATTTCAATCGGATAGAAGAAGGGCTAAAAATCAACAAAACATGAAAAGCAATATTAAAATCCACAAACACCCTTCCTGCAAAACACAGAGAAATAAAATCTAATACAAACGACGACACGCCCCCTCACGCTGAAACCAGTGAAGGGGAGGCGAGTGGAAAATATAAATATGGCCTCCATAGTATAGTACAACACGGCGTCAGTTTCAGCTTACAAGCGAAGCAGTAACATCCCCAGAAGCCATCTCCATCTCCTAGTGTTGGTGAAACGTCCAGAACTAATCTCAGAAGACAACAGCCTAACAGCCCAAACAAACAGCCTAACAAGTTAGACGATAGCCGTGAAAGCCTAACACATTTTATAATGCCAAATATGGGGGGCTAGTTCATACAGAAAGAAGATGTATTTAGAAATAGTATTAGTCTACAGTTCTATATGTGGTCTATAAGGGTGGTAAGAGTATTTAGGACAACCTCAATAATTACTAAACAAGTGATGGCAGGAGTTGTACTAACCCAGTTAATCGTAAAGGAGAGGGTGACTATATATAATAAGAGAAGGGGGATATATAAAGAAGATCAGGGAGGAAAGCACAAAAATAGTGTGAAACAGTAGCAGGGAGAGAGTGGCCTGAACAAAAATACTCATTCTTAACATAGGGCACTGGATAAACTTCAAATTTAGACACACTAATTTTTATTTCACTTTTGTTTCACTATTTTTATTTCACATTTATAAAATTAATATAAAATTAAAAAGACAAATAACGATCAACCTTTCGTGCTTAATGTGTGGCATGGAAAATCACACAGAACATTGCATTTTTGCATGTATTCAATTAGGCTGGGAAAGAGAGAAGCTGGTAAAAAAATTGGAAAAATAAGACCAAAAAAGTTAACAAAGAAAGCCATAGCTAGCAAAGAATAGTTTTAACAGTAGAAAAGTCAGGAAATGCTAGGTAATGTGAATAAAATATGTGGTGTTAAGAAAGCTAGACATTTAAGTTTGACAGAATTCAGTTTTAGGGCACCTCTTCATTGGTTGATATGTTATATCAGCTGATATATTATATCGTTAATAAATAAAAAATTAATTTATTTTATAAAATATCTTAATTACTTACCTGCCCAACAGCTCTTCTTACCATAGGAATCTGGTCAAATAGTTTCTCAGCAAGAGGTCCTACACTTTCATCTAGAGCTTTATAACTGCTATGCACAATAATTTCCCCAATTGATTTTATTGCTTCTATCCTTACTTTATATCTCTGATGAGAAAAACATGTTAGTACAGGTTTTACTAATGATTCAGCTTGTTTGTGGAAATCTTTAGGTAATGCAATAGAAAGATTTACTATTGTTTGGCAGCTAAGTTCTTTTATAGCCGGATACTTATCCTTAACGCTTTCTGCTAGTATAATAACAGTATCATTTAAAAAAGGAACAAGCTGGGCAGTATTACTGTATTTTGCAATTATGGCATTTAAAAACTGAACTAGCTGAAGTCTAATTTCTTCAGATTCCTCTATAATCTCGACAGATCCCAATCTTTCAACTAGTATTGGAACAACATAAGTTAGGTAATAGTCATTTATTGGAAGTTTATCTATTAGAAAAACATTTAAAAAATGAATAGTTTGTTCACGGACGCTCTCGGCCTTATCTCTTAAGCCATTTAAAACGTGTATATGTATATCAACAAATATAGTTTGCAATTCCTGGTTACTGAATACATTTTCTTTACTACTTAAAAATTTTTCTAAATCAATCAATGTTTGTTTTCTTTCTTTTCTGTTTTCACTTTGTAAACTTATACACATTTTTTTGATAGACGATATTTTTTCTTCTTGACTTACTCCTTCAATGTTTTCCATGTTGTGGGAAATCAATTGATATTTAATATAGTGTTAAAATTATATGATTTAAACTTAAATCAGACATTTGTAAACAATTTAAAACTTTTATCCGCTGCTATGACAACTATTTTCTTCTTCTATTTTAATAAAAATGAAACCACTCAATTTTTAAAAAGACACATCCCCTGACGTTTTTCGCGTTTTTCCCAATGACGTATAATATATAGACTCGGTGAACGCTTTAAAAAGTGTCCAAAACATGAATACCTTTGTTATTGTTTATTGTTTTGATACGAAGATGCACGAAGTTCATGATTTCTTACGAAGCATCACGAAGTTGATCTTGTGTTTGAAAATATCATGGACGTACTCCATTTTGTGTGACAAGCAAATTTTATTTTAAATTGTTGATAGTTATTTACTTACTATTTTAGTAAAATGCCATACTATTTTATCAAAATAATTATTTCTCTTATAGACGGGAACAAAAAGAAATCATAAATATTTAATTTTAATTAAAAAAATAATTATTGTCATTAACATATAAATGAGCACGCCGCTGTTCTAATAAACATACCTTCAACCTTGAGCCGAGATCTTTGGGACACTCGATTCTATAGCGAGAATAGGGGACTGCGTAGTCTATATATTATACGTCATTGGTTTTTCCTACAAACTACAAAACAAATATGAAGAAAGAAGATGAACATAACCTAATAATATCATTATTTTTTTAATCTGATTTAAAATTTGAACTTAAAAATAAATTATGTATAGACTAATATTTACTAGATTTTTAAGGGCGGTTAAAATACCAAACAAGTAAGATTCTTCTTAGCCTTACTTTTCGATATTAATAATCTACATTTTTAGCATCAACAAAAGAAATATAAGTTGTAGTTCCAGAATATTTAATCAAGAATTTCCAAATGATCGCCCCGTTAAATTTTCTGGCAGTCCAGCTAGTCACTACAAAGCACAATCTAGTAGAACTGGCGTACATTACGAACCTAGGTTATGGTATGAACCTTATGTGATTATAGCAAGTCTGTCAGTTTTTTTAATCTATTTCACAATTCTAAGAGAAGAAAATGATATAGATGCAGAATTGTCGCGATCTTTATATAGCCGGATTGAAGGATTAGAGGAGTTTCAGCTTCGAGAATCATTGAAATACAATACAGAACATGGAATAGACACAACTGATATTCGCAAAAGGCTTGCTGAAATTGAAATTGAAAAAAGAGAAAAAACAACAACTTAATCTGAGTGTTGGGCTTTTAGCCATTGTAAATTACAGTAATTAATATATTTATAATCAATACATGATAAATAATAACTTGGTATTATTCATCAAAGTACATTTACTAATGTCGAAATAACAATAAACTTATAAATTTTATTTGTACCAAACTTATAGATAAAGTACTAGTTCTTGTATTCAATCAAGTACTTCATCCAAGTAAAACTAATTTCTGAAGGTATGTTACTGTATAAGGTTATTTATCTAATAACTATGTAGGATACATTACTGGATAAAGTCATTTACTCTCTTGCACAAAAATCTAATATGTCAACTTGTTTTAGGAGTTTATACATGTCTATATAAGGAGATTGCTATTAAGAGTGTTTGAGTGCTTATGAAAAATCTTGTTGCTTAGTAGTTTATGCTATTATAAAATTATTTTGAACTATTATAGTTTAAAATAGTTTGCAAAAATCAGCTGGTGCAAATCAATCAATTTTTCCTCTAACTGTACCTTTGACATAGTTTTCATATTACAGTATACTCAAACTGGGTTGTATCTACCACAGATTAATACTCTTAAATCCATCAGTAACAGTTACCTAGATTAATATATGTACAAAAATATTTATTTTTGGGCCACTAATCCATTGTGCCTATAGCTAGTGTAAAATAGTGCAAATCGCTTATTGTGTGTTTATATTTTAATTTGGAAATACATGTCAGAAATGCAATAAAAATAGAAATTGAAGAAATGATGCAACCACATTTAACAACTTTTAAGATGGTCCCCTAAAAATCAACCCTGTAATGTTACATATCATCAAACGAGAAGTGGACAAGATCTATTGAACCCTGCACATGTGGTTGAAGTTCACCACTTGTACTAGTAAGGAAAAAAAAGATAACTATCAGATATTAAGAACACAACTTTTACAAAAGAGAATATATTATCTGAACTTGAGAAAAAAGTACCACCACTTGAATTTAATCATTTCAGAACAAACTTTGACAATAAAGATGACTGGAAGGGAGACTTACAATTTAAGAAACCTTATGAGGTTTGGGCAGAATTTATGGATGAAGCTTTATTAGTAACAAATAAACAAACATGTTACTGGGGAAAATGACTCTAATGACTCTAACTCAAGGAAATGAAGAAATGTCAATATCGTTTTCAGTTTCAACAATGACAACTTTAACTCAAATCGCTGGGCAGAAAGAAGAAAGGGTAATTCTTCCAAATGAAGAACAGTCATAGAACAGTAGCAGCACTATTTTTCAAGATAAAAGTACTAGTTCACTAAATGTTTCTGAGTTATTTCCTTCACTGGATAAATTAGAAAATGTTGCGCTCTATAAGAACAAAGAAGACCAAGGATATGTGGTTAGCACTCCTTTCAAAAAATGTCTAATTTTTCCTAAGACTTCTGAAAAAGAACTATCCAAAAGAAAACGAAAAATATTTCTAGCAGTTGTATCCACTACACTTTACCCATTATGATAATATAACATCTAACTGTGGTCCTTCAAATTAATCACAAATTAAAGTAAAAAAGCCTGCAGTACAGAGAAAAGTAATATGCGAATCTGAATCTTCCAATGATGATGTACCTTACTCTGATGACGACTATCTAGATGCGAGTGATGTTGGAAATGATACAATCAAGAATATTCATGATGGAGATTTTGTTGTTATCAAATACAATAAAAAGCTTTATCCAGGTAACATTCTATAAATATAATATATTTGTTTTTCCCTCTTCTAGAGTTACAAGGGAATTATGTTTTAATGATCAAATTTTTCCTTTGTTATAGGAAAAGTAATAAAAGCTAACCAGGAAGGAGTAGAAGTTTCATTAATGGAAAAAGCAGGCAATGACTGAAAACTGCCAAGGGAAGAAGATATATTATTTTATTTTTATGAGAATATTAAAAAGATTATAAGGGAACCATTAGTTAAAAACAAACGGGGTTATTACTCAGTAGCAGAACTATCTAATTTTCTCTAAAGTATGTTATACCATTTTTAAGTAAAACATTTTTTTTTGGTTATGACATAAGTTGATTTTTGCTATGTTCATTTTCAATGGTTGTTAAAAATTTCAGCAATATAAAGCAGCAAAAAGCATATATAAAAGTACCGTCGAACCATGATTATTTTTGAATTGAGAAAGCTGCAAATTATATATGTTAAAGTATCATATCTGAACTGCCAATTAGTGTTTTTTTTAAATCATCCTAATAGTGTTTTTCTCATATATTTTCAAAAGGTGATCGGTTTTACCTCATAGGTTGGGTAAAACCGATCGGGTGTTGAATTGCGTTTATGTTGCTCTTAAGCAAGCTTTGGGGCAAAACCGATCACACAAAAAAATTTTTAAACTATTTTTTATGCAATAAATTGTAATAATCAACACAAGATTTGTTTACTAAAGAACTTTATTTCAAAAATAAATACAAATTTGTGAAAAAACTTAAAACATAAAAGAAAACACATATTTCTAAAAAACAAAAGGAAGACGTTGGTTCTTTGGTGGTACATTAATAATTTGGTATTTTTTAACTTATTCTAACGTAAGGTTGGAAATCCCCCTGAAAGTAAATGTTCCTCTTCTGAGAGGAATTGTTTGTATTCTTTGTATAATCTGTTCTTTCTGAACTATGGCGATATCCTTGATTTCTGGATAAGCAAAGCAAATTTGTTTTTTTGACGACTTTTTCCTCAAGCATTGAAGTGTGACCTCCTCGTCAGAAATAACTAATTTTAGCAGCAAAAAATCTATCTCTTTTGTTCGTAACAAATTTAACGACAACAAATTCTCCAAGCTGAAAATGTGTATCATCAGAAACCTGGGGCGTGTCCTCTGAAATTTCCTCGTCATTTTCCAACTATGAAAAACTTAGATCATGTACTTCTAACCCTTGCTCACTTTCATAACCTTCACTTTCTTGTACAAGGTCTTTCTTTGAAATACTTTTTTCTGCTGCCACCTTCATCCTTTTACCTCTCTTTGGATTTTCACTTGAACCTGTTAGTTCTCTCAAATGATCGACAATGGTATTCATCCATATTTGCTCGACTGTAGTCTCTTCCTGTTCGCTATTTTCGTGCTCTCCTTTTTTCAAATGTTGTATTTTTTTGAGCACTTGATCTGGATTTAAAGGCACTATGCCACAAGCTTTAAAGCCTGCTTGGGTGTTTGAGGTTGATTTCAGACCCACTTTTTCTACAACGCCTAGGAAGGTCGAAAATAGGCAACGTCGAGTGGTTGTAATAAATCTGTGGAGTTTGAAGGTAAAAGTATAAACTTTATACCATTATTTTCACATTGCTCGATAACATTGACTGTAAGATGACTGAATAAATTATCCCCTATCATTACTTTAGTGCCTTCTAAGGTTTTTAAAGTAGGGCAATGCTATCGATAAAAACCAGTCTTCAAAAGTTGTGCTGCCAAACCAACCATTGATCGTTCTATTATATCGTGCACCAGGTAAGCCTCCATCGGCCCATCCTTCATACATGTGCTTTGCCTTGTACACTATATAAGGTGGCAACAGTGTTCCATCACCAACAACTTAAGACATAACGCTAGTGCTCGTTTTCAACGTGTCCATCACTCGATGAGCGTGTTTTGATCCTTTTCTGACCATGACTTTTACAGCTCCTGGATCGTCCGTGAAGTTGGTTTCGTCATAGTTTATCACATTTGACGGTGCGACCCCTTTCAAAGACTCTCCAAGATGACGAAAACTTCAACTGTTTCATAAGTGACTGCAGCCTTTACCCTTTTTGTATTTTCTGCCAATTTTACGGTGAGATCCATATGTCGGTCCATAAATTTGAAGAACCAATCTGGTCCTGGTAAATTGTGTCTGAATCTTTTTTCTCTTCGTCCTGCTCTGTTAAGAAACTGCTGAACC